CAGTGATTGGAGCTGATCCTCCACACACAAGGCAGGGAGGAGGTAGGAACTTGCAGGAGAGGGGACTACAGGAGGCACGACATTGATTAAAGATCTATCATAGCTTTAAACTGCCATAAAGAAAAAAATAAATGAGGAAACAACCAGGTAGTGATATTTAAGCACATACAGCAGAAATTTCCTCAAAATGAAATACAGATCACCCTAATATGCAGAAATATGTCAGTCTTGCTGTAAACTTAACTTCCACAGTCTGAGCCCAATTCACTCATATTTAGCTCAGTTTTTGCATTAACCAGGCATTAACATGGGCTTCTAGAACTCTTCAGGCATGGGATCCCACAGAAAACAGCCACCTCAGTACTCTAGTTTCCCCAACTTCAGCAAGCCATGCTTGGCTTTTTTCTTGTCAGAAAAGCTCTTAAAACTTCAAAGCATACCCGAGTTGCCTTCCCCAGAGCCCACCATCCTGTATCAGCAACAAACTGTCCTTCTCTCCCAATAGAGAGGATTTGAAACTAGCCAAGTGAACAAAACATTTCTCCTGTTTCTCATGAAGTTCTGATTTCCTACAAAGATCGGTTTATCAGACTACGCATCTTGTATCCATCCAAGATCTCCTACCTCTGCAGAAAACATAGCAGAGCTAGACGAAAGCTGGTGAAAGCTGAGGCTAGAGATGAGCAGAGCTCCCACCCACTGCAACAGGCAAGAAACTGGAAAGGCAGGTAGTAGGGCTGGCACACACTGCAGAGGAAGGCAGAGTCCCTTTCCTACAGCAAAAGGAAAATAACAAGGAAGAGGGGCACTTCCTTACCCAGGAACAATACTTTGAGGTTTGTCTCTGATAAGCACGACCTAAGTCCTTGTACGATGCAGAGAGCTGAGCTGTGGTGAGCGGGACACTGCCTCAGGACACCGTGGGGCCGCTCTCACACCACACACTTTCTCAATGGGCACTTTCATTAAACGCTGCCGGACAAGCTCCGTGACACTTTCTACCCTTAGCCCAGACTTGACATGTTACAGTGACACTGCCCAGAAGGTACAAATGTCAACAGCTCTCAACAGCCTGGCTGGCAACACATTTAGGTAAGAGATTAATGACTCCATGGTACAACCTTTTATAAATTACACTGCACATATCTGAAATTCTAGCACACTCTGTGCACCTACCACGACCATCAGTGATCGCTAGTACAGCTGAAAAAGGCTGCTGCAGGCTCGTACGAGAACTCCTTTTGTCCAGCTAGACAGAACTACCCATCCAAATCACAAGTCCTGAAACATTTTCTTAGAAGGCCCTCCCCTTCTCTTGTCATAAATTTTGAGAAAGAAGAAAAATAATATTTCAATATTCTAGCAATAAGCTATATTACAGATCTCTTAAAGGGTTCTTTTTTATTTTAAAATGTTGACATGTGTAAAATTCACTCTAGAGGCTCCTTCTCTTTTTACGCTCCCTTTCAGCCAGTGGTAGAGAACCTCAGTCCCCGCAGACTTCACACTTACAAACACTGGTGAGGCTGAATCTGGAATCTTGTGTCCAGTTCTGGGCCTCTCAGTTCAAGAGGGACGGGGAACTGCTTGATAGAGTCCAGTGCAGGGCCACAGAGATGATGGAGTGGAACATCCCCCTTGTGAGGAAAAGCTGAAGGATCTAGGTCTCTTCATTTGGGAGGAGACTGAGGGGGTGACTTCCGGAATGTTAACAAATATGTTAAAGGTGAGTGTCAGGAGGACAGAGCGAGGCTCTTCTCAATGATGTCCAATGACAGGACAAGGGGCAATGGGTACAAGCTGGAACACAGGAGGTTCCACAAAAACGTTAGAAAAAACCTTTTCCCTGTGAGGGTGACAGAGCCCTGGCACAGGCTGCCCAGGGAGGGTGTGGGGTCTCTTTCTCTGGAGATTTTCAAAACCCACCTGGACGCGTTCCTGTGTGACCTACTCAGGGTGACCCTGCTCTGGCAGGGAGGTTGGACTAGATGAGCTTTCGAGGTCCCTTCCAACCCTGAACATTCTGTGATTCTGTGAACTGATATTATCTTGCAGGAAGTAATTTTAAATAGACGTACATGATAATAAAGTATCGCAGTCATTCAACATAGGCCATGCTAAGCTTCCCAAGTATAGGTGCTAGAATGAGCAAGCCCATCAGCATTTTCTTTTCTCTAATGCCACATGCGATTAATATTTGAAACTGTGAGGGAATGTTGGATCTAGGCAGCTAGTTACAGCACACAGCTGCAGTTATGGAAAACCTGCTCCCCCTTCCTGCAAAGAGTTTTCTCTCACACCATTGCCTTACCACAGGAGCCAGCTGCATTTCCAGCATTGTGATTCTGCAAATGATCTGGCTGAAGAATCCATAAATGCACCATTTGCAGGGTTTTATACAGCTGGATCTGAAGAGCCTTTGCTGCAGCTACCTTCAATGCTGCCCAGTGACAGGAAGGGTCTAATGTCATCACCAGACCAGATCTATCTAAGCCTTCCAAAGCAGCATCTGCAGTGGATCATAGAAGCCTCCTTTCCTAAGTGCTGTGCGAAGACTTTTAGATAAACAGGTGCTGGCTCTGTCGGTGAGATCCTATATTTTAACTTCTGACTGGATCCAAGCTAGAATAAACATTATGCCTGTATTAATAACTACTTTTGTTCTGAAGAAATCACAAGCTCAGTTAGGAGGACACAAACAGGACAGACTCTTCACAGACATTGTTTGAAAACCTGTTTTTGTAAGAGACTTCTGTGCCAGAATTATGATAAATTAATCCTTTTACCCGCCTGCACCTGTCAGCAACTAACAAGTTGTTGCAAACATACTGAATGAATAGAAGGCATCTACAGGTTCTAAGGGCATCAGTTAGCATTAGGAAAGATTCTCATGCCTCAGTCACCACAACCTGTCTAACGAGTTATTTTTCCTCTAACAAAGCAAGAAATCATTTGGCACTGATCCTCATCTGTGGCTGCTACTCAGAGACACAGAGGCACGATAACCCAGTGATGTTCCACATATAATACACAGTTGAAACAAGAGCACTGAAAGTGAAAATACCTTGACAAAGACAGTGTAACATCACATTCATGGGCAGGTGCAAAGCAGATAACTTGAATGCATTCAGAGTTAAAGGAGCTAATTCCAGTCTTGCCATCCCCTTCTCACAATTTACAATTGCAGGGTTTTGCTTGAAAAATGTTTACAAGCAGCACAGGTCTCCTTGTTAGAGTTTGCCTACTTCCTTCAAGCTTTTCACAGAGTGTTTTTCCTTACAGATATAGACTTGGATTTCTCATCTACAAGAAGCGTTACACGTAAAATGCTGGGAACTAGAACACGGTTTTGTAGTGCAGCTCAATACCCATTTGTCACACAGGATGGCACCTGCACATGCACACTTCCACTCCTTCTGGTTTATTCAAAAGGTCTTTCTTGCATATAACATGCCTATTTATAAAAGGCAACATTTTCAGGCTCCATGCCTTAGCGCACTCTCCTCTAAACTCAGCCCATCACCCGGCACGTGGCGAGCACCAGCTCCACAGCATAACCCTGGGACCAGTCATGTTTCTGTGACACACAGCCAGGAAAGGAGGGGGCTGCTGGGGCCACACAAGCCTTTACCAGCCTGAGGCCTCTCCAACAGCAAGGGCCAGCCTTTACTAGGTTGTCTCAACCATACTTCTCCATTCAAAAGACCTAATAACCATCAGCTTGAAGAGGAGAGTGAGGTTCCTCATCTCAAATTCACAAATCAAAGTAAAACCACGCTACGCAGTTTTCAGTTTCTCATATTAGCAGTTTGACTGTTAAAGCACATACTAGGGACTGCTAGGTTAAAAAAACCACGCCTTCTACACCCTGCACACACACATGGAATTTCGTTACTCCTCACTGTTGTCAGATTTTCACTTTCAGGCCAATGTTCTCAGGACTAGTCAATATTCAGAAGCAGGCAGTTACAGAAAACTTCATAGCTGAGGCCTTCCTGAGAGGGAAGGGAATAAAAAAATCCTCAAAGAAAACCAAAACCCAAACCCCAGAAAATAACTGCACTTAAAGGAAATCTTCTCAACAACTCCAAAGATGAAATAGATGGGAGTGGAAAAAAAATAAGATTTGGCAGGGAAACAACTTCAACGGAAGTGTTTTAATGTAACTTAATTATTGGCCCTTGAAAAAGGCTAATTGCACATACACAGTCATTTATCAAAACCAACTGCCAGACATTGGGAAAGAAGCCAGCATGTGTATAGCCTTAATTTAGCTATTTGCATATTAAAAAGAAAATCATCGGAGGGCTGGACACTGATTGGAAATCAATTTTCCTCAGCAGAGCCCTGCATGTTGCAAAGTCATTCAGCTCACAAACCCAGTAGAGTGTTTAAGCAGGTGCTTACGGTTAAGCTTGGTAATAGCCCATTAACTCAACCTATAATTAATACTAACAAATAAGGCTTTATAGATTAAAAGCTATATACAGGTATCAACCAGTCTAGCTGAAATTTTGACAGGTAAACCTTCAAAGGAATACATATGCACTGTTTTGCAGGCTGATAGCAATGTGTTCTGTCTGTCAGTGCTCTGAGACAGCTGAAAACAACAATGCTGCACAGCACTGTTCAAAACAAGAAGCCAAATTAAAGCACCGCACCTCTGACGACAGCAGCGTGAGATCCCATTTCTCAGCTGGTTCAGAGAACTGACAGGTGAACTCAGTCTAAAGCACAGACACAGATGACACCTCTCTAAAAAAGACAATGTAAACGTACCTTCTGTTGTCCTAGTTGCATAAAAGAAATAGGAAAAACAGTTAGCACACGTAACCAAAAAAAATCAAATATGCAAAGTGAAGATTTTGAAAGGGGGTGTGTTTCTGTTGTTGTATATTGTGATTGATTTAGGCGATCTGCAGAGTCATTGTTTTAAGATGTGGCAAATACCCTCCTGTGTCAGCTTTTAGAGCAGCGTGGTGTCATCAGTGCAAACTTACCTTCCTAGCTCCTCCCCGATTTCATAAACATCCTCCACCTTCTGTTGCTTGAATAAAGCCATACTTGGACTTTTCATTGATGCACAAAGATGATGCAACTAGAATATTAAGAAAGAATGACATTTGTTACAATCTTCCAATAAGCAAAGAATCAGCAAAACACACTTCTGTTATAGTCTCGGTCAAACCATGAGGGTCCAAATCGGGAAAGAGGTGAGCGAGTGCCTGTAAATGAAGAGGATTCTTGCCCCTCGCTGAAGTACCTGAGCACACACTTAACCAGAAGCACAGAACACACTTTGAAATACAAATGTGATGGAAGTGAAGCAACTAATTAATAATTTTACAAACTTATAGACAGCAAAGCACTCACACCACGCTAAAGAGAGCTAAGTGTGAGAATCAGCGCTACAGGCTTCTTCATTAAAGTGTCAGCAGGCAGACCATGAACCAAAGAGACCACAAGGCAGAGCTTCCTTTTTCTCATGTCAGGCACAGATTCTGAAGCACGGAGGCAGGACAGCAAATGGAAATCCAGACTACGGCTGCAAAAAGGCATTGTGATTCCATCTGCACGGTTCTCGGCACAACATCTTTCGTCACACACTACATGTTTCAAAGAAGAAAAACACGAGCAGCATTTGCGGCATGCATTCCTCTGTGTAACTCTGAAATTTGTTTCCAGGACACAATCTTTTAAGTTGATAAGCAATGTGAGGTCTGCAAAGACAAGCCTCACATTGGAGCATCTGAGCATCTGGGAGGGCATTACGCTGTGCTGCTGCTGGCAGAGAAGACCAGAGATCAGATTATTCCTTGGGATACACCCAACACAGCAGCATAAATTGTGTTAACAAAAGGGATTTTAACACAATAATCGGCCAACTAGTTTACGACATGTTTGGTGTCCCGTGTAGATGAACACTAGATGAACACGAGTATAATCCCCAATGGCCCAAACAACAACCACTACTCAAGAGCACAACAGGTAAAATAGTTGTAAGGCCTCTAGCATGACAATAAAATCTAATTACACTGAGCCAGCGTTGTGCTCACACATCTCTAGGCTTCAGCAGCGTATCCGTATTTCTTAAAGCAATGTGCATTTCCTTATGAGTATCAGATGCTGCCTGTTTCAGATGCACTGGGGACTTCCAGTTTCTCTATTTCTATACAGCTCCTGCATGTTTTTAAATAGAGCAGTCTTTGGCATCTAACTGTGGCACATTGCAAAACATATTTCATGAGCAAATAAAGCTCTATTTTGATCTTTTAGAAATACATTCAATTCAATATTGCAAGAAGATCCAGCTATTTTGATAAATCAGCAGGCTACTTACAAAACAGGACAAAGTACCAAAGAGCAACTGCAGAGTTCCTGTCAAGTTGAAGTGCACATATTTTTTACAATTGTTTTCTAAGCATATACCATAAGCAGCAAATACACTGTAAAAATCTAACAACTTGTTAAAATGCTTTTGTCATGCAGTCACCTCAGAAAAAGGACTGGCTGCTTTGGTTTCCTCCTCCCTTTTTATAAACTCTTGGCTTCTAACACATGGGAGGTATGTGCAGTATCAATTCAATTCCTTGCCAAACACGCTGCTTCTATTGCTTCAAAAGAACAGAAATAGTGCTTCTACATCTATTTTTTGGCTGATGTTAGCCAAGCTTACACATTAGGACAAAAATTATTTGACTACTTTATTTCAAGCAGGACTACAGATACCAGTTGGGAATAACATTCACTCTTTGAAAAAACAGTGGCAGTACGTTAAGGGGTATCAACAAAACCAGATGTCCCTCTGCCAGGCGTGCAGCACCAGTTCCACAACACACGAGTTGAGCAGGGGTACCTGGTTCTGTCTCTCAGTGACACGATTTTATACAATTCCATGACAGCTCCCATCATATACGTAACATCTCTGTTCACTGCATCCTTTTGGATTGCCACTTCCAAAGCAAAAGGAGATGTGGGGAACTTCATGACCACTCACTTCACTCCTTTCCCTTGAACAATGTATTTTTTAGGTGAGGACCTTCTAATGGCCTGCTCCCTGCCTACAGCCTGCTCTCCTCTACACTCTTTGCTCCAAGGCAGAGGACAAGATACAGGGCACACACGCTATTCTGGCAAGCCTCACTTCATCTCTCTAAAGGAGCTTCACTCTTACCAGATGTTGGGAAATATTTAAGTTATACATCACAACTGCATCCTCTCCTTTCTGACAATCAAAACACATCCATTTCTGTCACGTTTCAGAAGAAATTACCATTTTCACTGCATAACAGACACTTGTAGACACCTCCCTTTCTGAAGGATGTATCCCTGCACACCTCATGGGAAGGTGTGCGTATTTTGATGGGACACGACTGACGGGCATCTGTCGTACAATCAAAATACATCCATTTCTGTCACGTTTCAGAAGAAATTACCATTTTCACTGCATAACAGACACTTGTAGACACCTCATGGAGGAGAGGGAGGTGCAGGGTATCCCTAGCAATAGCTTTCACGCTCTCAAAAGCAGCCTTGCTGGAGGTCTCCACTGCAGATGTGATGGCTCCCTTGTGGGCTCCGTGAGGCCTACTGCATTTTCAACAACAAATCTGCTTCAAACTCCAGTTTCAGAACTCTGCAATAGAGACAAATTGCCTCCCACACCTTCCGGTATAACTATGCTCTAGTGATGACCTCTCTTACCCAGCTACCTGAGGGAAATGACAGAAAGCAGACAGCTTGTGACACCAAAGACCAGAATAACCACAGCACTTCTAAAGTATACTGTAGAAATCAACACTTGCATTTGCATGCCTCTACCAACGGCGTTACAATGTGGCTTGGGTTTTTTTGCTTCCACCTTCCATCCTCATACTTTCCCAGACATTTTCTGGCTGATTCTTACTTTTCAAGAGCTTTTCAAGATGAAGTCAGGTGAACTGTTCTGCTACTTTGCTCATTAATTCCTTTCTCAAAGCCACGTTTATGCCTGGAACAAAAATGTCTCTTTTCTAACTTGCAATGAAAATAAACCACTCAAATTCTGCTTTGTAAGCAAATTCTTGTATTCCTCAAGCAACCTTTCAGTCTTAAGAGAAAGCTCATTGACCAATATTGCTCAGCGCGTAAAACTGCAATCAATAAATTATATTTAATAAATTATATTTATTA